TCTGCTCTGACGATATCTGTTCTTTCTTGAAGTATTTTTTTTTGTTTAGAGCTTTATTAGCGAGATCAATATCTTTCTCGAAGTTCTCGAAACTTCTCTTAAGTGTTTGCAGTTCTCATGAAGCTTGTTGTACTACCATGATTTTAATTGAACTTTTCTAAAAATGTTTAACCTTGCGTGAACTTCTGGACTTATGTGAAAACCTCAATAGTTTTTTAACATCTCTAAAGTTCTCTGAAAATCTGGGAACTTCTTGAAATTTCCCGCTTATTTAGTGAAAACTAATGGAACTGAACTCCCCTGAAATTCCCTTGGTTTTTGGAGCTTTACTAAACTTATTTGAGATGCTCCCGAAATGTCCATACAAGTTCCTGAAGTTCTCGGATCTTCCTTTAAGTTGCATAGACTTTTATGAAGTTCTCGAAATGTTTCTGAAGATCTCTGTACTTCTGTGAAGTTTTAGCAGTTATTCTTAAATTTCAGGAACTTCTTTAAGCTTCCGCAGCTAAATAATTAATATAATTCTATGCTTTCACTGAAGTTGTCAAGGTTTGTCTGAAATTCAAATTATCGAAACTAAGTCATAACTTCTTTAATAGTCTAGAGTTTCCTGATGTTTTTAAAACTGCCCAAAATATTTCTCAATTTCCTTAAAATCCTCTAGACTGCCCTGAATATTATAGTATTTTTTTAAAAGAACCCATCATTTTACTGGAGTTGATTTAATTGCCTTTAAGTTTTGCAATTTTCCTTAAGTTTTATAAATTTTATAAACGCTCACGGAACTTTGCCTTAAATCACCAATTTTCCCTGGAAAGGCTGAACATCCCAGAAGTTTTCTATACTTACCTTAATTTCTCTAAATTGATCAAATGTTCCTGAGATATATTTTTAAATTCCCTGAAGCTTCTAAAGTTTTCGGATCAATCCTGGAATTCTCGGAATATCCCAAAATTCTAAGGAACTTCTTGTAAGTCGCTGCAAATTTCCTTAAGTTAATGTGATATTTCTGATGTTATCTGATAGTCCTCGAAGTACTCTGGAATTTCTTGAAAATATCGATGCTTGTTAAAAGTTCTCGCCTTTTTTTAATTAATGGAACTTCGTTGATGTTCTCTAATCAACTTAACAAAAAGAAAATAATCAACTTATCTAAATTTTTGATTCTTTTTAGATCTTGAAATTACTCTTACATTATCCGGATTTCATATAATTTTTATTGCGTTCCAGAAATTTTCTCTGAGCAAACCGAATTTTCCAGAAATTCCGGTTTCTGTAATTTCCTATACATTTTTTGAACTGCCCTTTAATTATCTGATCTGTCTTGATGTTCTCGGAGCTTCCCTAAAACTCTCAACTTTAATAAAAATCTCGGTTCTGCTTTGAAATAAATGGAATTCTCGTAAACTTCTTCAAACTTCTCTGGAATTCTCTGGATTTCTGTGAAGTTCCTGAAGTTTTCATAAATTTTCTGAAGGTCTCTGTACTCAATCTTTCGGAACATCTTATGGGTTCTGGATTTTAATTTCAGCACATCATGGAACTATCCTGAATTTGTCTAAACTCACGCTTATAGATTTTTAAATCAATTCAATAGTCTGGGCTAAAGTTTCGGGGACTTCCCCTTAAGATCTCTGGAATTCCCCAAAGATCTCTAGATCTAGCTTTTCTGAGATCAATAGAACTGCATTGAAGTTTCCACATTTTTATTAGTACGAAACGTCAAGACATTAAAAATGTTGTTATCTTAGACTTACTAAAATGGAGTAAGTGTTGAACTTCAACATTTAATTGTTTCTTTAAAACTGATTGTCATGTCTTAAAAACGTTTGCGTTAAAAACATATTTTTAACGCATTTCATAAATAGCATTCTTATTATAAACCTAGAAATTATCCACCAAAGTTATGGAAACCCGAGCAGGAGAAAATAACTAATGAATACCTCATTCTGATCTGATACCAAAATTTGACCAGCATGGCATAAGAGGTAAAATACCAAAGAATAATACCAAAATATTACATGGAAAATATTTTGTAAATACCAAAAATTGATATTTTGATACCAAAAAAATACCTGGGTGGTATTGTTTTGGTATTGCATTATCATAATTTGGTATTGGAATGGTATTGTGGGAACATTTTTTTGGTATTTTACCTCTTATGTCAGGCTCATCCATACCAATTTAAGGTATCGAGATATTCGTTCCTGCTCGGGAAAACCTGGAAAACTCAGGGAACTTTATTTAACCAAATGAGTGGACACCATGTAGATAGAGAAGAACGATTAAACGTAAAAAAAACTCTATACAAGGACGTCAACTTCGAATAAAGGGTGTCCACGATGAAATTGCCACACTATGAAATTGCTCTAACTTTTTAACCGTTGGGTAGAATTTAATGAAAATTTGGGTGGATTTAGTTCATAGTGCATTATTTACATCCTGCAAGTTTTAAAGTCCTGTGATCAAAACTCGCGGAAATGGAGTCGAAAGAACAGCTCGTGCGTGATAAAATCTTGCGCATTCATCACGAGAACAAGGATCTCTCGCATCGTTCCATCGCTAAAACGTTGGGAATCGCGAATTCCACGGTGTCGCGAGTGATTAAGCGGTTCGAGGAACGGTTGACCACCGATCGGAAGCCCAGAAGTGAAGGAAAAAGTATTCCGTACAACACCAAAAATCACAACCGCGTAGTTGGGGCCTTCAACCGAAATCCGAACGCCTCCGTTAGAGATGTGGCTAAGAAGCTGCACCTAAGCCGAAGTTTTGTCCAGAAGGCCTAAACTAAGGCTGGGCTTCGTACGTTCAAGGTACAAAAGGCCCCTAATCGCGACGAGAAGCAGAACAAGTCCGCCAAAACCCGTGCCAGGAAGTTGTACCTCAACATGCTGACGAAAGTTGAATGCTGCATCATGGACGACGAAACATATGTGAAGGCCGACTTCAAACAGATCCCCGGCAACCTGTTTTTCACGGCCAAGGATAAGTTCAGTGTTCCGGAGCATTTCTGCACTCAGAAGATGTCCAAATTTGCGAAGAAATTCCTGGTTTGGCAAGCCATCTGCACGTGCGGGAAGCGGAGTGCACCTTTCGTGACCCAGGACACGATGAACGGACAGGTGTACATAAAAGAGTGCCTCCAGAAGCGGCTGCTTCCTCTCCTGAAGGCCCACAACGTCCCAACAATCTTGTGGCCGGATTTGGCCTCATGCCACTACTCCAAGGACGTGCTGAAGTGGTATGCGGACAATAAGGTCAATTTCGTGCCGAAAATGTTCAACCCTTCCAACACTCCGGAGCTCCGCCCCATCGAGAAGTACTGGGCGATTATGAAGCAGCACCTTCTTAAACGACCTAAGGTAGTGAAGACAGTCGAGGAACTGAAGAAAGTATGGGTTTACATGCAAAAAACGGTTGATTCACAGGTTGTGCAGAATCTTATGGCCGGGGTTAAGGCCAAGGTGCGGGCATTTGCGTATGGACTGTAAATAAAATACGAGTAAAATGGTAAAATGAAGTTTAATAGTTATTTCTCAATCCCTGAAAATTTGATGGCAATCGGATGAAAACTCGAATTTTGCGAATCAATTTTGTGTGTGGCAATTTCATCGTGGACACCCTTTAGTTCAAAAAATAGAACAAAATGTAGGCCTCAGAAGAATGATCAATCTTGAAATGAATTCACGTTTAAAAAAGTTTAAAATGGTGACTTATTACAAGAAAAAGTGACTTTAGTTACTTGGCCTTAAAAATAGAGAATTTTTAGTTACTGGCTTGAAAAAAGTGACCAAGTCACTAAAAAGTGACCAAGTCACTAAAAAGTGACTCGCTACCAGCCCTGCAATGTGCAATACGTGCTAACAGAGATGAATCCTCCTATCTACGGAAACACTTTAAGACAGGAAATTAAATCGAAGAATTTGATAAAGGCTGGACAAAAGTGGCCAAATTATCGTTAACATAACGTTGTTTATTCCAATAATAAACTATGCTTATACTTTCTGGGACACCCTATATTGGCCAAAAAAAAAAGGCTATCCACAAATAGTTTTTCGTGGCGAATGTAAAGGTTGAGTACTAATAAAACATTAATGGTTGATTATTGGGAGCTATTTCTTGAAATACTTGTCTGAGTGCGGGAATAGTACCTGCGTCAAAAGTGGTACCTCCACCACAGACAAACAGACGTAACTCTTTGAAAAACTTGTTCTTGAAAACATATAACCTCAGTAACGACATCTCTCTGGCTTCTCGCGGAAAACAAGCTTGCTCGCTAACTCGTAAACAATATTGCATAAAAGTTCTATAGAATGTATAGAAACGTCAAAGTGATCCGATGCCAGCGCTGCGGCGAGTAGTTCGCGGAACTGATAATATTCAAATCAACCGTTAAATGCATGAACGAAGATACACCAGGAAGAGTTACGTCTGTTTGTCTGTGCCTCCACGGTACCTGCGATACAGGGCGACTTGTGTTGCGGTTACTTCTCACGTGCACAATTTGACTATTGTTTTCCACTTTTCCTGGGCAAACTAACTTTACCTTGTTTTCAATACCATCTATGCTATGAGCTATAAACGCATAACAGTTCCATTTCAATATGACATCAAGCAAAGATGTGAATGTTATGCTTTTAAGGGTCGTATAAAAGCATATATAGCTCAATAATGTTAAAAGATAAAGTAAACAATGATCCTAACTCAAAGTTGATGAAAATGCAGGTGGGACTGATATCGGCAGTTTAGGTGAACACAAAGTAAAACTCCTTTATCAGGAAACTACAAAGGTTCAGTGCAGTTTCAGGGTATAACCAAACCGAGTTCAATCTTTTGAGAAGATGATCGAAAATCGTGTGGAGTAAAACCGGATAATTTGAACCACCCTAATGTCACGTGCTAGGCTAGCGCTGTTCTAAGTTCAAAGCCATGACGTAATACAGGGATTTCGGATACATTTTAGCGATCTAAAACTGGGCGGTACCACACAAGAAAGTACATTTTGAACTTTTACATCAGTTTCTTAGCTTTTTTTGTAGTTTATTTTGGATTGACCTTTTCTTGTTATTGTGTTTTCTACAAATAAAAATTCAACGATTACAACTTAAAAATAGACGTAGATATATTCTTAACGCTTGCTATTCCTACATAATTTGTTTCCTTCCTTGTGTGTGTGTGTGCTTTAGTTGCCAAATCAAATATCCTTTCTTAAAAACAGCTAGTTTTAAATGATTTAGCGCTTCACTATTACAGGTGTATGTATTTTGTATATTAAAATGCATCTTTTCATCTCAACATGACTTCATTCCCAAGCACTTTTCCTTTTCTTTTAATCATGACATAATCAGAACTCAACTTAGGATAGCGAAGAGTTACCAATGTAAGTGGAGTAAAACCAAATAATGATGCACATGTTAGCTGTTAAAAAGTCCATTTTTCCTTGGTTGACCCGCTTGAAAATGCTGCTGCTGCTGCTGCTGATCGCGTGCTTCACTTCACCGTGCCGTGCTCAAACTCAATATTATTTGTACGAAATGTGGTTTATATGATTTTTTGGAAGAACGGGAAATTTTTGGTTTTCGCAACAGGTTGGTGAAATTTGTTGATGGTGCTCATTCTGTTTTCTGTTTTGGTCAACCGAGTAAGAAGGATGGATCTGTGTTACTGCAACGCGCGTACCGTACTTACATATAAATTTGGGGCGACACTTCTCTAATAATAGCGTTTTGTGTTTTGTTTTTTGTGATCAAATTAGTTTTGAATTTTCTGTTTGTCACTGTTTTAGTTCCGTTCTGTCTGCGACTGCCTGGCTGATGGTTGAGTGGCGTCTGCTACTGCTGCACGTTTCGCCATGACGCGGTGCGAGAGACCATAATTTAGCTGATGGAGGTAGGCTGCGAAAGAGGAGTATCGAAATGTGCCGGGACCGTGGTCAGAGCATCCGCAGCTGTGCGTGTTGTCGAACAGTTCTGACAAAAAAAAAATTGGGATTGAATACAGAACGTTGAGTAATGATTTTAATTAACTTTGGTTTCCCATAAAATGGTAGGTGATTGTTTTCGATTGTGATATGATGCTTGATGTTTTAACATGCCGGCGATCATGAAGTACAAGATTTTTGCATAAACTTAATTGCTTTTGGCATATAGAATAAGATTCACTTTAAATTTTAATTAGGCAAACTAATTTCCTTTGACCTAGTGGTTTAAATTATTCAATTTAAATTTATTTATTTTTATTATAGTCACTTTAACAGATTTTAGATTATACGTGACGTTTGCAAGGATGAGATTTGAACTCGTGACCTTTAGCGTGAGAGGCATGGATGCTAATCACTACGCCGGTTCAGTTCCCATTATGTAAACAATAAATGCTACAGCTAATGACTGTCAATCAATTTTTGAGAAGTATAGAAGATCTGCCAGCAAATAACATGATCGTCATGTGAGAATGGCAAAACAGCAATGCGATGAAACTCTTTCTTTAGAGCAAATCCACGCCAGATGACGAAAACATAAACGTATTTCAGATTTTACTTCCCAGAATTCTACGAAACATGGCACAATTGTTCACTAGGAACAATAAACCAAGTTCGCGCAAGAAATCGGCCATATTGGTTCACCCCTAGTTTTTCAAAATGGCGTTTTTGATATTTTTTTAATAAATCATAGCACGAAAATGGCTTATCTATTCAAAATGACAAAGCTTTAGAAAACAAAATTGCCTTTTTAGGAAAAAAAACATGCACACTGAAAACAATCACAGGTCGCAGCTTGTCCGTAGATCGGTCGCAGAACTTCAGATTTTCAATTGTCGACTAACTTTGAAATCATGACAACCTATCAATTTTCTTATAATGAGTCAATCAGAATCAATCATGATGAGCTTTGGTGTTGGCTGAGTAATATATTATTGATTCCATTTTTTGCAATTTGTAGACTGTTTTGATGTTTTTCAAAATCTGTGTTGACCAGTGATGTCAAAAAATCGCTTCTAGCGATCAAGATTTTTTGGCATCATCATAAGCTAGCGATGAACTCTGACTCTTAACACTAATACGCAGAGAGCATTTCGAACAGTGAGTTACCAAGATCTCAAGAGAGCAAGACGATAACAACATCATTGCTGTGTGCACTCACGATACATTACTTATACTACGCTAGGCTTGTTGTGAGTGCACGCTACAAACTAAAGATCTCAATGCGTACAGCTGAGTACAAGAAGTTGTTCGGATTATGTACAACTGATGAACACCGTTGATCAGATCATGATCATTGCCATAATGATCGTGATTTTTTTTTGCTTTTTTCAGTCTGTGAATTAGGAAAGACGCATGTATTTGCGTTCACGGTATTGGTCCTTTCGGTGGAGTGAAAAAGAAAGGAACAGTTCACCGTGTTGACAGAACTATCCGATGAACTACCGAGCCAAATGTGCGCTATTTACAGGTGAGGTGCAAGGAAACTAGTCGACTCTTTCGACTTTCGACTCGAAACCGCACATCGCCCCGTTCCAGCCTTCGTGTTAAAAGTTAGGGTAGGATGGTTCAAAACACACCCCTGGGGTAAAATGGCCCTGCGCTGTTTTTCATAGCTTCCGATTGTCAATTCGTGAATTTAACAATCAGCATTGCTAGTTCAGTGCTTGAACTAACATTCTGGCACATGATATTTCCAGAATTAATAATGGGAAAGCAACAAAACCCGCACGGCGCCATTTTACCCCGGGGGTGCATAATGAATTGTTCTCCCCTACCGATGGTCAGCCTCTATCTGCTGATACTTGCTTATAGCGGATTTGTTTATTATACCGTTCCAACCTGGATTGGGTATCAAGTTAGGGTCGGCTTGTTTTCTAGCAAACGTCAGTTTGATCGTTTGTTTTTATAACCTGGCACGGTCGACATTCACGCTGACAAAAAGTTCGGGTTTGCACTGGGTTGGAGCCAGTGCTGAGATTTGTCATTGTCATTGACAGACTTTTGCGCGATATTGACAAAATTGTTTTTCACATAGTCAATGGATAGACTTGATCCTCAAAAAAATCTTTGTCAAAAACTCATTCATTTTTCCGTCAATGACAAAGATTCACCTGGTAACAGAAAGTGTAATTTCTTGCATTCTGAGACACATTACTGTTATCCAAGCGGTTCAGGACGTAGATGCTTATTCACTTTAATGGCTTCATGTAATTGTTTTGCTCAAGCCATTTAATTTCATTACAAATTTAGCTAATAAACAAATCAGCACATGTTCGTCACTGACAAAAATGCTACTGACAATTGACATGGCTTGCCTTGACGATGACTGTTAGCTCAAACGAGTGACCAAAGCAGAATTTTGAGTATCACCGTGTATTGTCGAAATTTTGCAGCACTGGTTGGAGCTGCCAGCTCCGAGCTGGTACCAACCTGGGAATAAACAAATTCGCTATTGCTCTGTAACCCCAAACTGCCAAAGAATGCTACTCACAGAGAGACACTCACTCTCGCCTCGTGAAATAAGCACATGTTGCGATTTGTGGATATAATGAGCGAAAAGGGTAACTCACTTCTCTGAGCTTGACTCAGTCTAACAATGTATTTGTTATCTGTGAGTTGCCTACGCAATAACGTATTTTCAAGGTGGAAGAAGACTAATTGTTGGTCGTAGTTTGTACAGTTTACGACAAACTGGAAATCGGATCATGCTCGCTTGATTTCCATCACTGACTAAGACCATTTTCGAAGCTTTAAAATGAACTCGAGTTTTGTTTCTTTCATACAACGTGTTCAACGCATAATTTCTACACTGAAGATAATAGACTTAGGAATTTCATAAGGCTCGACATATGAAAAACACATATGAATTTCATACGGGTGAGATAGCTCTTATACGCCTTTAATAATTTCATTTTCCCAAGCGATGAAAGATGAGTGGTCAACACACGGGCCCCGTAATCTAAACGTGCATGGTTCGGTTGTCGTCTGCTCCGTTTTATTATTTTTTGTCAACATTATTTTTCATAAGGCAAATCAACGAAATTCATACCGATTTATTGTGGTTAAAATTCATAAGTGTTTCTTATGGGATTCTTACGTTTTTTCCCTCAGTGTACAACGCCTAGCTAGACTATCAGCTCGAAACTAAAATGAAAAGGAAGCACGCTTAGATCGAATGGCTGTGGATTTTCTAGTCGTTGCTTTGCTTATCGCTTTCTATTTTAAGTAATCTATTATTTTTTTTTAATCTATTTAAGTAACGACGATTATCGAGTTGACACGAACCTTCATCACCGCTCTTTCAATTTATTTAATATGCGTTATGTCCCGTTTTCGTTACTTTTCTTAAGATAAATAAGTGAATAAAATAAACATAGGACCATAGGGGAAATGACTCTAATGTTGGCCTATGAATCTAAGATTGGGCCCATCGCTAAAAATCTGCTATTTGTCAATTTTATCTAGATGATCGCGTCATTAGGACGGCACTAATGGGTATTTTTGGTTGCAATTGAAAATTTAGTCGATTGTTGATGTTATGTATAGGCCCAAATAAGGGGCATTTCCCCTATGTTTTCACGTGAGAAATTCTTTAAATATATATTTTCATTTTCCGTCATACACGTCGTGAAACCTCTGTTGATGTGTTTCATTAAAGACGAAACTATCAAAGAAGCTTGAAAGAAAGACCAATGAAGCGATGCACACTGGGGCAGATCAGTGATTTTCTCGGAAAAAATTAATAACTTTTGAACGAAGCATCCAATCAGAATACTGTTTTCAGTAAAGTTGTTTGTATTAGCTAAGCGCTTCTTTTGAATAACTTAATTAGTTCGCAACTTGATCGTAGAGATGGCGCGCGAATCTAACTTTTGAATAAAGCATTCTAGACGAATGATTTTTTGAACAAAGTTTTTTTTATCTATTAAAATGAAGGAAAGTTGCAGAAGACATGAAACTTCCATAACCTTTAGTTTTGGAGATATAGGGTATATTAAAAAATATGAAGCCAAAATTCTTATTTGTTAACTGTTTTTATATATTTTCATATGTTTGCTCTGGTTTTTGCATTTATGCCAACGGAAACAAACTAGGTGCGAATTGTCATTGAACTATTTGTGGAATTTATAGTGGTTTTAGTGAAATATTCTCGAAAAACATAATATTTTGCCTGTATTTTAGGTGGGTGGGATTCTCATAAGGGCAACTGGACTTTGTCTCTTTTGTTAGCTCATGTCATTGTCCTATATACCTGAAAACTGAAAACATGATATTCGATGATTTTTTTTAATTTAACTTTTTGTAAACCGTTACAAGTATCTTTACTATTAAGGAAACCTGTCAGTTTGTATAATTTTTATTCGTTAAACTTTTTAAATTACAGAAGCAGTAATCTAGATCTCGAGAAAAAAAAATTCAAGGTCATTTTGCAGTTAATAAAGTCATATGAGGAGTTTCTATAATAAAACTATGTGGACTTATCTACACAGTTTAAAAAAGTAGTGCAGGGGAATGGATGTAATGTCAGCCTAAATGCCCCTAATTTGGGCCCATACATAAATTCAGCAATCGACTAAATTTTCAATAGCGACCAAAAATATCCATTATTACATAAATATCCAATTGACGCGTTCATTTAGATAAAATTTATAAATAGCAGATTTTTAGCGAAGGGCCCAATATTAGATCCATAGGTCAACATTAGAGCCATTTCCCCTATATTTCTATTCAATATGATGCTCATAAATGGAGCGTCATATATCACACAATATTATATTATAGATCATGTAAATCTACGTGACATTTAATGAAATATTACAGATGAGTAATTCCAAGCCGCCATTGACACAAGGTCTTTAAATATTTAAATATATCCGTTTGATTGGTCGAGACTGATGAAATCTGTGGCAATTTCCTTAGCTCAAATTAATGGACCCTTTGCTTGCCAAGAGGCCTTACAGTTTTCAAAAAAGTTGAATTTCTAGCAAT